AAGTTAAAAAGTCGCCGTTCACTACTTATTCATTAGCATTTTAAATCACTATTTAAACCCGATAATGGCATTGGAGGCAAGCACTTACCATGCATAATATGTAAGTTATTATAAGAGTAATTCAAAGTAATGCAGACGGTATGTAGTATGTAGTCATTGAAAAGTAAGTGGCCATTACCGAGTTATTGCTGGAATCCTACTAAGACTCTATGAATCCATCTAGCGACGTATTTGACACGGAATCATATCGATCTGGGATTTCTTGTAACAAAGGTACGGGGCATTCTTGTCTAGAGACTCATTATAATAAGGCTGTTTTGGATACCAGAAGATTGCAATGTACGAAACGAAAGGGATTAGAGGGTAAAACTATCCATTTGTCACTATTATAGGTTGATCTCTGAAAGTCTTTGAGATATTACTAATCAGTCCTGGAATTGTAAAATGAATTGCAAAGTATCAAAGGCCTTATGGAAAAGATATCATGCTAATGTAAATAATATTATTATTGGACAAAAAGATATAGTCTATGGACTCGGTCAGGGATTTTAACGCGGCATTGTTCTGGCCGTATGGAAAAGACTTCATGCGAAAGCAAACAAGATACTTATTGGGCTTGGTAGATGACAAGGATTTTAACATGACATTGTTCTATTAGAGCTTTTTGTCCGAAAATAAGACAATACTGTCCAAAAAGATATAGCAGCATTATTTGCAATCTACTAAGTTTTATCAATGGAATCAGCCGTTTTGTCGGTTGGGGGCTAGAGAAACGTTTCTGATTTCTGAGAGAAGTTGCACCATATGATGCAACACACTATTCTCGAACCTTTGCCTGATATATTATGTATTTTAATATTAGTCACAATCAAATATCTGCGACCTTACCAATTTCATTTAAAATATCATTAAAAATATATCAAAATATGATAAAGAAAATTCTAAGACAATTCTGTGTTAATTCTGTTTTCAGTAGAAACATTTTAACCTTCTGCCTTTAGTACAGGACAAAAATACTAATCCAAATTAATTAAAATTCTACTGAAAGAAACCTAAATATCTCACACAAAACAATAAATTTAATATAGTATGAGTTACTAAGCCAATTAAATATATTTAGACATTTACTATATAAATATAACAAATGCGTCAAGTTATTTTAATCAAACACCCCCATATAATATTATGGTGTCTTTGCTACTTATAATGTATGGAATTTTCCCACTTATCTTAAACAGACGGCATTATTACAACAACAACAAAAAGAGAGAAAAAAAGAACCGAAGTCCAACAAAAGACAGACAATAAAATATTATTAAATATTTAATAACCAAAAAATAAATAATTTATATGAAAATATCTACAAATGAATTGAATAAAAATGCAACCAGTTTTTACTTAGATAAAGATTTAATACAAATAAAACATTAATTAATTTAATATATATACTAGTAGTACTTTATTATATTGAAAAACAGCTTTAGTTAAAAATGTGTTACACGATTACAGCACGTGATAAAAAGTTGATTTTTGTATATGAAAATAAGCTGACTAGGTTGTGGAATTATACCAAATGAACCAAAGAGTTGTTTCATATGGGTTTCTTTTCAAAAAAGACTAATAATAAAATTAATTTTATTACATTTACGATTTTCTGTGTGCTGCTATTGTTATAAAAGTTAGTTGTAAATATATTATTTTAAAACACATGTAGTATTTCTTTCGTAGAAAATGTTACACACATTTTTTCTCTGTTGTTTAGTAAATTAGATAAGGAAAACATTTATTAGGAACAACTTATAGATGGCCTTTAATTAAACAAGTTTATTAAGTCTAGTCTATAGATTTATGGCATATAAAACAAATGTGGAAACTAATATATGATTAGAAAATATTACATTTAACAAAATTATGTTAATATTTTATCATTAAAGTTTTAATTATAAATTTAAATATGATTTTTATTTGTATTTTAAAATTAAATTTGCATACAATATGTTCTATTCAATTAAAGATATCTTAATATGTTTCCTTCTTTATATCGTATATAATATCCAAAAATTAAAGTATTTCATTGACCTCTGCCAACGATGTTGTTTAGTTAAAAGAAAAGGTCACCTCTTGAACATTATATATTACACTAAAACCCCTCCTAGACTCCTCCTAGTTTTGAGTCCGTTTCCTTTCCTCTAGTATAACAGTTAAGTAAACCCAATAACAAAAATCATATTTAAAGTAAATATTATCTACTTTCTTTCCGCTTAGCGAATTTTATTATCATTAATATATTTTCAATACAAAGAATTTGTTATTATTGTAAACAATTTAACACTTTATCTACTGAAAGCTATTTGCTACATTTTCTATGGAATTTTATTATGTATTTGTTTTCAATTTTAAATTTCATTCAAAAACACAAGTTCTATATTTTTCTATAAACAAAATAACAACAATCTTGTATATTGGTTACTTTTGTTTACATAGTAATTATTACGGATGTTATTATTGTTAATTATTATGTATTTACCATTAGTTATTGTTGTTTTGGAAAATTATTTAACTACAGATTTGCGTAAACAAAGTTTAATAATAACATAACATGTAAATATTTATTATTTGTGCAAATTTCAAGTGTTTTTTTTTTTAATTAAAAGGATTAGTTAGTTTTTGTTTACAAGAAAATTAGAAAAATAAGTAACAAATATTGATTTTAAGAAATTCATAGCGTTTCGTTATAAAATAGTTGTTTTTGTTATTTAAAAATAAACTAAATTGTTGATTATTTAATTAGTTCAAATTGTGTGTAATAAGTTCTAAAATCAAAAGATGATATTAGATGTGTAACGCTGAAAATCGATTTAAAAAGTTTGATGTACATATATTCTTGAAATTAAACTTCACCAACACCAATGTTTGATGAGTCGCATTGTATAAAAAACTCACGCTCAAAGTTTGGTAAAGCTAGCACCGGTGCAGAGGATAAAGCGTCTTTTAGTTTTTCAAACGAACGTTTTGCTTCTTCCGTTAAAGGAGACGGTTTTGAACTCTTCTTTAAACAATCGGTCAGAGGACCAGCCATGTCAGCATAAAGTTTTATACCAGTTGGCTATGCCCATGAATCGTCTGATTTGTGCAGGTGATTTTGATATAGTGAAATTTTTTATGGATGCTACCATCTCCGGGTCAACTATCAAGGTTCCCTTACCGACTATATATCCTAAATAGAGGATTTGTTTCCGGCAAAGCTTGCTTTTACTCACATTTATTGTCAGTTTTGCCTTTTTAAGACAGTTGCCAATATCACCTAGAAGTGTCATATGTGAAACAAAGACTGGACTACAAACGAGTATGACCTTGTCCATAATTCTGCTCTTGTTTTGCGTACCATTACACAGACCAAATGACATGTACTTATAATGGTACAAGGGTTTGCCTGAACTGCGAAAGCAGCCTTTTCTTTTGAGGATTTTTGTCAACCTAATTTGTAGAAATGCATCCTTTAAATCAATTCCTGTAATGAAAAAGGCATCTTTCAACCTGCTTAGTAATCCGTTATGTGCGGAAGCGAATACGAGTCCTTTTTTCGTTACAGCATTGAGTTTACGTCTCTATACATAGACGAACTTTACCGGCTTCTGCACCAGTACCACGGGTGAACAGCAAGGCGAATTATATTCTTCAATCACGCCCATATTAAGTCTTTGTATTCCTTAATATGCCTCCTATTGACAGGGTGGCGATAAAGGGTGATGGGTAAAGGGACTATATTTTAGTCGAATAATCGAACAAAAAATCGGAGAAAAATTGTTTCGAAAAATTGAAGATTTGATGTTTTATAGAAAAAATAGGAAAGAAAAAGTAGACCAATCGTTCAAAAAAGATCGAAAAGTTGTCATTTCATGAATTCTAAGAAGTTGAAAAACCTAATTTCATAAATTGTGAAGCCGAAACTAGAACGTTTTGTTTCGACAGTTGAACTAGAGGTCTATAAGTCGAGTTTCAATTTGAAACTTTCAAACAATTTCGAATATTCTTTTCAAAAAATTCGATAAATCGACTATCTTTAAGAAAAAAGTTCTGTCGCTGTGGGCTTAACCAAACGTAATGTTACGGTGCCCAAATTGCCGAAAAAAGTCAAATATGTCAAAAATCCGAATAAATAAAAATAATATAAAAATTTGAATTAAAAAAATTCGAAAAAAGTAAAAAAGGACCTATTAAAATCATAGCTGTAAAATAATGATTAATAATCGTAATCATTATTAATTAGATTATTTTTATTAAAAAGGTAAAATTAATGATTAATTAACGATTATTTTCAATTTTTTTAATTAATTATTGATTACGATTAAAAATAATCTAAAAATAATTAGGGATTAATTGGAATTAATGAAAATAATAGTGTGTAATTTGAAAAACATTTTTCCATTACACGTAATGTAAAAAGATAGAGAATTGTACCAAATATATTAAAATTAATCAAAAATAATCAAAATTAATCCTTGAAAATAATCAAATTAATTATTTGATTAATTCTGATTATTTTTGATTATTTCCATTAATTTTAATTAATCCTGATTATTTTTAGATTAATTTTAATCGTAATCAATTAATAATCAGAAATTTTATACCAGAGAATTAAATAATCATTACGATTATTTTTTAAAAATAATTTAATTGATTATTAATCGTAATCGAAATTTTACAGCTATGATTAAAATGTTAAAAAGACGACAATTTCATATTTATAAAAGTTCAAAAATAATTTTGAAACATTGCAAAAAAGCAGAATTTCATAAATGAAAAGTCAGAATGTCGACTTTTTGGTTCAACTATAGAAGCCTTCTTTAAACCTGATCACATATTATAAGCTTTATTTTGACGACTTATAGGTAGTTCCTCCCAAATCTAGAATATATTTCAAAATGATGTTAGCACTACCCAATTTTAAAAATATGTATGTAATTTAATATTTGTGTACCTATATAATTCCAACTTACCAGCAAAACGAATTTTTATCAAATCCAATGGATGCAAAATCAAAGTCGATGTTACACCACCCGAAATGCCAGCAACTAAATGCTCATATTTAACATGTGAAAATAATTTGAATTTTCCATTGGAAACACTTGCAGGAGATTTAGTCGAATTCATGGCGGACATTATTTTTTTTTTTTTTTTAATATAAATCTAACTTATTGAAAAAAATATGTGTATATTTATTTAAACAGGAACTTTGCAAGTTTTTTCTTTTTAAAAGTTTTCTCTTTACACTCTAACGCGTTTAAATAACCTTCTAAAAAAGGATAATTTTTGTATCACTGTTATTTAAAAAAAAAGTTTCAAGTTTTGTTTTTCTTTTAGTTACTCTCACTCGTTAGTAAATTTAACTATATTTCACAATTATTTTAGTAATTTATTAAATTGTGCTAGTTTTTGCTTTGTTTTTGTGTTCAAAGTTGCTTTCTTTGTTCTGCAGCTTGTTTTTTGTTTTGTGGAATAGGTTTGGGGGTTAATTGGGGGATGATGATTTTTCTAAACTTATTATAAATCTTTGGTGTATTTATAGTCTAAAATATTGTTGTTATTTAAGCTATAAATCAAAGATTATCTTTAGTTTTCTTTAATAAATCTAAATTAAATTCAAGACTGTTGTTAGCAGAAGAAGCCTTTTTAGAAAAATCAATAGTCCTTGTCGAAATGCTTCTTTTTGTGTCTTGCTTTTTTAGTGTGTTTTTATTAAAGCACATCTTCCTCTGGGAATTTGTAGTTTGAAAATGTTTCTTTTTTTATTTTTTCCTGCTCTCCAATTTATAGTGTGTCTACTGTAGCGTAGCTTATGTTTCACTTGAAGTCTGGGCAAAAATGATGAAATTCCAGCAGACGTTTGTATCACGTTTTCGTTCCAAATTGTCGTTTATTTCTCTAGCTTGTTTTAGTTTCTCATTCCGTTGTTTGAGTTTTTTTTATAATTTCTTTGTCTTGTCTAACACTTCCTCTTGTTGTTTTGTTTTTTTAATGTTGGTTTTTTAGCATATTTTTTTTTATCTACATTCAGCTTATGTAATTTGCAAAAAAAAAATCGTTTTCATTTGCTGTTAAAACTTCCTTTAATATGTTTTCAATTTCACTTGTACTAGTTGCTTTTCATTCGGTTTAATTAATTTCACGTTTATATTGTTGAATTTTCTTTTCGCAAACAATACTTTTAAAATAATTCTTGTTATGCGAAAATTTTCTATACACCTATTTTCTTTATTCGTTTTCTGTGAGAACACGTCTGAACGCGCTGAACTGTCAAATTGGAATGTTGCAGAAAAATGATTTTTTTTCTGTAGTCGTCTGCACAACCAGAGCCCTGCGCCGACAAATATTAACAACGGTGGCGGCTGACACTAAAAATAGCGACGGCGGCTTAAAATCGACTGTAAGCCGGCTAAGTTTTCAACTACGTTTAATTTTTAAATAAAAACGATACCCGTTAATAAAACAACCTTTTGATAAAACAGCAAACCCTAACAGCTGTTTTTGATTGTTGTGTGGTGAGTTTCTGTAAAAACGTAAACAAATGAAACAAAAACAAATTACTGGACATATTTATTTTGTGCTAAGAAAAATTTATGTATTTTTATAATGTTTTTAATCCAGTGCAAGTGTTCTTGGTGTACACTATCTACCTCAATAATAATTCCGGTTTCTTTAGAATCAAACCTTTTTAAAAACGCCATATATAATGTGCAATTCATTTTATATTCCATGACTGGTTGATAGAGTCACGGAATCCATCGGAGATCAACCTAAAAAAATGAAAAGGGGGTGGCTTTAACTTCTTGTTCCGTTCATATGGGGCAAGATTCGAGCCTCACCGTGTCAGTTCGCCAGATATCTCTTTTGTGTATATTGCAGGGTCCTGGTACCCAACACAGCCTTATTGTAAACGGTCTCATAATAACACTTAGATCTTTTCTTCATTCTACGGCTATGCAAGATTACAGCTATGACATATTAATGCTTTGAGTGCAGCATGACTATCTTACCAGAGACCGGTGAACAATGTGATTCCCTATTTGTTCCGTCACTTTCAAGATCGCTAAATCACCACTTGGAAGACACAACCCATCAGGGAGTCAAGGAACATTTTACACCACATCGAAATATTGGTCTAATATCCATAAAAGTATATCCTGGGATCTTATTACAGTCTAAGACCATCTAGCCAATATTTGCCAAAATAATTTTAGTTGATGGAGTTTGTTATTGAAAATGGACAATATCGGTATACGATAAACTCATCAGGGAGCCAAGGAACTTTTACACCGAAATATTGGTCTAAAATCCATAAAAGTATAGTAAAAGTATAGAAATATTTTTGGTTGATGGAGTTTATTATTGTGCTTCTATATTCCAGTATAGCGAAGAAAAACAACAAAAACAAGTTTTATAGGAACTAAAATCTTTTTGCCAAATTTTACGAGGATAGCTTCATATTTGACACTGCTCTCATATAAGGTTCATCTAAGGAAATTATTTTACAAGATTTATATGATCCCAAAACCTTGGTTCGTTCAAAATTGACCCTACCCCCATATAAGTTCCCCTTCAGAAAATGATATTAACACCAATAATTGTAATAAAAATTCCAATATAGCAAAGAAATTCCCCATAACCAAGGAGTCAAAATCGTTTTGTCAAATTTAAGGGGATCAGTCCATAATTTAACCTATCCCCGATATAAGGTCCACCTCGGGAAATTACTACCGCTTTTAACTGGCTTAAAAAATGTATAGCTATAAAATTCAACATAACAACTTTTATATGAAACAAAATTTATCTGTTGAATTTTGTAAGGGTCGGTCCACAGTTGACCCTACCTAAAATCTCAAACAGATTATGCCATCCGATTTCTACACTTCCAACTTAAAGTTCTATATATGTTTTTATCGTGCACAAGATCGTCCGATAACAGTTATATATCATTTTCTATATACTGCCATAGTAACATTTTTTGTGAAAAAAAGTTTGTTGTTGTAGTACACCCCCTAGAACGATGAAATCCTGAAAAAAATGTATGCCATCCGATTTCTACACTTCCAACTTAAAGTTCTATATATGTTTTTATCGTGCACAAGATCGTCCGATAACAGTTATATATCATTTTATATATATGGCCATAGTAACATTTTTTGTAAAAAAAAAGTTTGTTGTTGTAGTACACACCCTAGAACGATGAAATCCGGAAAAAAATGTATGCCATCCGATTTCTACACTTCCAACTTAAAGTTCTATATAGGTTTTTATCATGCACAAGATCGTCCGATAGCAGTTATATATCAATTTATATATACTTCCATAATAGCATTTTTTGTAAAAAAAAAAGTTTGTTGATGTAGTACGCACCCTAGAACGATGAAATCCGGAAAAAAGTATATGCCATCCGATTTCTACACTTCTAACTTAAAGTTCTATATAGGTTCTTATCGTGCACAAGATCGTCCGATAGCAGTTATATATCATTTTATATATATGGCCATAGTAACATTTTTTGTAAAAAAAAAAAGTTTGTTGTTGTAGTACACACCCTAGAACGATGAAATCCGGAAAAAAATGTATGCCATCCGATTTCTACACTTCCAACTTAAAGTTCTATATAGGTTTTTATCATGCACAAGATCGTCCGATAGCAGTTATATATCAATTTATATATACTTCCATAATAGCCTTTTTTGTAAAAAAAAAAGTTTGTTGATGTAGTACACACCCTAGAACGATGAAATCTACAAAAAAATGTATGCCATCCGATTTGTATATTTCCAACTTAAAGTTCTATATAGGTTTTTATCGTGCACAAGATCGTCCGATAGCAGTTATATATCATTTTATATATACGGCCATAGTAACATTTTTTGTAAAAAAAAAAGTTTGTTGTTGTAGTACACACCCTAGAACGATGAAATCCGGAAAAAAATGTATGCCATCCGATTTCTACACTTCCAACTTAAAGTTCTATATAGGTTTTTATCGTGCACAAGGTCGTCCGATAGCAGTTATATATCAATTTATATATACTTCCATAATAGCATTTTTTGTAAAAAAAAAGTTTGTTGTTGTAGTACACACCCTAGAACGATGAAATCCGGAAAAAAATGTATGCCATCCGATTTCTACACTTCCAACTTAAAGTTCTATATAGGTTTTTATCGTGCACAAGATCGTCCGATAGCAGTTATATATCATTTTATATATACGGCCATAGTAAAATTTTTTGTAAAAAAAAAGTTTGTTGATGTAGTACACACCCTAGAACGATGAAATCTACAAAAAAATGTATGCCATCCGATTGCTACACTTTCAACTTAAAGTTCTATATAGGTTTTTATCGTGCACTAGATCGTCCGATAGCATTTATATATCATTTTCTATATATGACCATAGTAACATTTTTTGAATGTTTTTTATTAAAAGGCATTCTGTAACGATATAATCCCAAATATATTTATATTTTATCAGATTTGTTCCTTTCCACATTTATATACATATTTTAATTGATCAAATATAATTTTTTTAAAGTAAATCATGAAAATCAATTTTTTTGAATCTTTTCCACGTGCATAAACACATATTGAAAATGTAAATATTGAAAACGAGTTTTTGCGTCTTTTTCACGTGCAAAAACACATATTTGTAAACAAAAAAAAACTCACCACACCAAAAAAAATGTTTATATTGATAAAACAGCTGTTACGGTTTGTTTTATTTTTCGTCGGGTTGTTTTCTTTATGTGCGTATAAAAACGGAATCCGATATATATATTGTTTATAACAACAAAACAGAGCAAGCTCAAAAGTTGTGTGAGAAATTATGCAGGGATGAATAAAAAATTCTTAAAAATTAAAAACAAATCCTTTCTCCAAGTTTTACGAGAATCTGCCGATATTTAACCCTATCCTCCATATAAAACATCTTGCAGAAAATCAGTTTCTAAAAAATTTTGCATTAAGAAAATTATCAATAACGTAAAAACAAAGATATTTTATTTGTTTATTTACTAGCTATACCCAGTGTGCTGTGCTACCCTAAAAGCAATATAAATAAGAAACCCACTTAACGATTTTGATGATTCTAACTACAATGGTTTTCCAGATATACAATTTGTTACATATGGGAGATTCGACGCAAATTATTGCAAAAAAAATTTGAAGATTCTAGCTCTAATAGTTTCTCAAATATACGAATTTTTCTATTTAATTCATATGGGAGCTCCAAACCCCCCATGTCTATAGGTTCAATATTATAGAAAATTCAAAAAAAATTTTGAAGAACGAAAAAGTAGCAAAAAGTTCCCTTTTATATGTTATCACTTAATCCGGACTGTACATTCCTAATTTCATGTTTCTAGGTTCAATATTATAAAAAATTCAAAAAGTACCAGTCGAAGAACGAAAAAGTACCAAAAAGTCCCCTTTTATATGCTATCACTTAATCCGGGCTGTACATTCCTAATTTCATGTTTCTAGGTTCAATATTATAAAAAATTCAAAAAAGTACCAGTCGAAGAACGAAAAAGTACCAAAAAGTCCCCTTTTATATGCTATCACTTAATCCGGGCTGTACATACAGTCAAAGAACGAAAAAGTACTAAAAAGTCCCTTTTTATAGATTATAATTTACTCCGGGCTCTACATATTTATTTTTATGCTTCTAGGTTTAATTTTATGGAAAACTCAAAAAGTACCAGTCGAAGTACGATAAAGTTCCCATTTTATAGATTCCCATTTACTCCAGGCTCTAAGTGCTTAATTTCATGTTTCGAGGTTCAAATTTTGTAGTAAGCTCAAAAAGTACCTGTCAAAGAACGAAAAAGTGCCAATAAGTCCCATTTTATAGATTCTCATTTACTCCGGACTCTACTTGCTTAAATTCATGTTTCTAGGTTAAATTTTATAGAAAACTCAAAAAGTACCTTTGTAGAACCAAAAAGTTCAGAAAAGTCCCTTAATTATTAATTTCATGTTTCGATTTCAATATCATAGAAAACTCAAAAAGTACTGGTTAGAGAATGAAAAAGTACCAAAAAATATCACTTGGTACCGGTGTTCCAAATAACACCATATTAGCATATTTAGTTTTTCTTGAATAAAATCAAATTTCCCGTTTTTACCCCCTTTGGTACTTTTTTCCTCTCCATTAACAAAATAAAAAGTCTGTTCCAAGGAGTTGCAACATCGTATTGGGAGCCCGTTATTATGTATTCATATGTATGTATAAGTTAATAAACCAAAAACAATGTTTTATAAAAAAGTACCAAAAATAGGTACAATTTTCACCCCTTAAACGTCCGAATATCCAAAAAGTACTAAATTCATATTTTTATTTGTTCAAGTTATGAAGGATTCAAAAATATTTTTTGAATGTTCTCTGGTTTAAAAGATACATGGGGTGCAAAAGATGTACCAAATTACAGTTTTTACCCGTTTATTCCCCAAAGGGGCCGAATTTGAAAAAATTACCGGACATCTGTCCGCTTTTTTTAAATGAACGACAATAAGCTTTAACTGTTTTTGTAACTTTTCTAGTTTAGGAGATTTGAGGTTACCGAATTTAAGTTTTTACCCTTTTTTAACCCAAAAAAAAAAAAAAATTCCAAAAATCCCGTCTTATTGGATACATTTGGTGGGAAACCAACCTCCTGCCCAAATTTCAGCTCTTTAGCTTCAACCGTTTAGGCTCTACGATGATGAATCAGTCAGTCAGTCAGTAAAGTTAGAATTTTATATATGTATATATAGATGTATATAGATTTCATGCATTGAATTATACTGTAAAACATTGTAATGTTCGACTTGAATTCAAGTTTCGTTTTCACTGGAGAATGCTATCGAATTAAAGTGTAATGAAAGTGTATTTCAACACTTGAAATTTGAATGTTTGACTGGAATTAAACTTGTTTTAAACTACAATTCCAGCAAGAATGCTTATTTGGTATAGTGTGACAACTACAAGGGATCTAAAGTCGACATAAAGCCCACAATAGTTAGTACCAATATTTTGCCCAAACAACATCTACATACCTAGCCAGGTTATATCCTCTAGAGCTTCACTGAAAGGCACACCAGACAGACATCGCGCTCTATTATGGGTGTATGGTAGTGATTCTGCTGAGATCAATGGTATGATAATAGTTTGTATCCCAAGGATACCCCCTGAATACGGCAATCAGCTTCCGTCCATTGCCTCTAGGTGATAATATACCATGCCACCACTAGCCGACCGACCACCACCCGCCTAGGTGACTAGGGAGGTATACAATTGCCACTCTCTTGTGGGCATTCTTCCAGGAGACTATCATGATGCCTCCTCTTTCTTGAAAAGAAAGACGTTCTTTATAGACAAATAAATAATTAATTAACACCATTATTTACATTTTTTAATCTTCTAGATCTCACAAATATGCCAAATCTAAAATTCAATAAACACTTTTGGATATTAAACGAAAACAAACCCCGCCTGGAAAAACATTTTCATCATAGTTATTAACAATTTAACTAAATTAAACCCAACACTTGCTGTTTCTTTGCACAATGACCCTCGGTTAGTAGTATAGCATACAATCTTATTAATTTCAATTGTTAGTAAAAAATTATTTTTTAATTTAAAGAATATCATTTTTGTCATTTTCGATTTTTGCACACACACAACAACAGTTTTTTTTGCAAATAAAAAATGCAGAAAACAGTTTGGCGCGAAAAATTCTAGCAGAATTTCTTTTCGCAGTCGGCAGAATTGACATCAACTGCACTTCCCATTTAAAATACACATGTTTGATACACTAGCCCTTTACGGTATGACATACCAGCAATGTAAAAAGGTGTAGCTCCGTTGACGTCAACGAAGCTGGTTTGAAGTAAAAGCAGCGACTCGAATTAGGCGCGTACAACACGAAATTATCTGAGGCGAAGCATAAACATCGAACGTTGAGCAAAGTTCTACACCGGCTAAATTTCAATGAGCGGCTTATTATTAGATAAAATAACTTCTTTAAATGAAAACAAATTAATTGTATATTATAAAATACCATAAATTTAGCGAAAGTGTTCTGTAAATTACACAAAATATGGCGAAATTTTTAAACCGTATTAAGCTGAAAAATTTGCGGCGGCATTGACATTTTGTTCGGCGGCTAGGCTTAGTCGTCTTAAAGCCGAATCGGCGCGGGTCTCTGACAACAACGCGAAAAAATTATAACAGAGTTGTATTTAATAGTAGTCACAGGAAGTGTTGTAATTCAAAATGGGAAAATTTTATTCAATAGTGAGGTAAATTAATTATAACAGTATTTTTTTAAATTTTAATAATTTATCGTTTTTATATAATTAAAAGTAATTTCTGATGAAAAACCCAGGAAAAACATTCATGTCTGTTCTGTAAATCGAAATTTGAAATTTTAAACGTAATTTGAATAGAAATTCTTTTTGATTGCACAGTGGAAATAAATCTGACATTTGTAAAATTCTGGTCCGATCAGGAGTGGAACCCACAAATATTCCAAGGACGGAGTATATCTTTTTAAAACGAGTGCCATTTGTTTCTCGTCCGATTTCAACGATCTAAATTTTGAAAGGCTGAGATTGGGTATATTATTTAATGTAATTAAGATATTGACATTTCAACGAAAGCCCGACAATGACAAAGAAGATGCTCCAGAGTTTCACTGTCCTCTCTACAGGCTCTACATTCGTCCGAATACACAAGTCAAATTTTGTATAGTTGTGCCCGTGGTTCTGCGCGTACACTCAAAATACGTACCATTTTGAAAAGGCACCCCACTGGATCTTTGTGGTTCTACCCACCGTTTCGTTATTCCAAGAGGCCTTAAGGCACTATATTGCCCGTACGAGTTAAAACAAATAAATTTGCTCTTGCGTTGCCGACTACTCCCGAGTAGCCTGGTACCCATATGATGTAAACCTTACCTCTGGGAGAGTATTCTGTTAAAGCTATCTTTCAATCCAATACGGTCTATCTTTCAATCTTACGGCCCTAATTGCCTTCTTGCTGCCATATTTATTCTAATCAAATTTACGCATTCCGTTATTGCACGGACTTCTGCCTATAATTATAGGCAGAAGATATCGTTATAATATCGTTTGGTTTATTGGGAAGCTAGTTTTGTGATAGGAAGAATGTAGTATATTTCTGTTTCTGGCTCTTCTATATAGAACACCAGGCTCGTTTTGTCATCAAGATTAAAGCCAACGGATTCCTACTGGTATTTGCTCTAGTTTTCCGCTAGACCATGACATTCTATCTGGGATAGGTGTTTTAGAGTTTCCGACATATTCCGTTTCTAGTATGTGATCGGGCAAATCCGATGTTTGTATATAGCGTTCCAGTATAGATAGATGACATCATTTCGATAAAAGTCGAGAGGCGTTCGGCTGTAAGTGCCGCCTCATATCTTATATGTTTTTTAATGGGTGGAATATCTAACAATGTTTCCAGTTTGATATTGCACTTTTTGTTTTATCACGCTTTAATAAAACCAATGCGTTATAAGTAGGTCTAAGGCCCCATTTCGTGCCAATGGTTCTTTTACACAGCGCCCAGAACCGATGTGCTTTGTCAATCCTATCCACTATATGGAGTCTACTTTACTCTGTCGGTCAACGGTATCTTCTTGACCAGGAAACAGGTTTCATACATACTTAGAAAATTTCTTGTGAAAAGGTTTAATTATTCGCCCTGTCCACATGTTGGGCATATATTGGGGACGGGACGGTCTATGCGGGACCAGTAGTCGTTGAGCCTGTTGCTCCATCCCGATCTCAGTTGTGCCAGAGCAACTCTTGTTTTTCGCGGCAGGTTCTTCTCTATTTCTGCTATGGGCGGTGGGCGACCTCCAAGAACGACATTCTACTCTATCCTCCAGTTTATAGTCTACTCTATAGTCCAGTCTATAGTCTAGTTTAAAGTCTAGCCCATAGTCTAGTCTAGGTTATATTGTAGTCTATAGTCTAATCTATATTATAGTCTAGTATATAGTCCAATCTATAGTCTAATCTATAGTCTAGTCTATAATATATTCTATAGTCTATTTTATACTGAAGTACATACTCTAGTCTATAGACTAAAGGAAAATTAGTTTAGTACTTTGAAACCTAAAAAACGTATAAGTTATAAGTTAGTACTATTTTAAAATTTTAATTGTCCATGCCTGATATACATCTCTTTTCAAACTACACAACTAATAAATTTCCATGTGGGCTCTTTAGTAATTCGTCCGAACATTATTTACATTAAAGCCTAAAAGTATGCAACACTTTGGTAAATTGAAATACAAAGTAAATAATAATTCTACGCAAATAAAAACTGATCACTTTTTTTGTTTTCTTTTTATTTAACTTTAATTTTTATTTTCTTTGAAAAAAATTACAAAAAGTATTTCTTTTTTGTTTTATTTGGGAGGAGGCATAAGTAGTTATAATAATTGTTATAATTAAATGGGGGTAGTGTTTAATTTTTTGTATATGTTTTTATTATTTAATTACAAAAAATATTGTTTTTGTTTTCTTTTCTGTTTTTACCTTGGCTTCTTCATTAAGATGTAATAATTAGAGAAAATATTGTTTCAAACAAACACGGGCGGATTTATTAAAATAGTTTGTATGTATTTTATTATGTTTTTTTTAGTTTGTTTTATATATATTTGGAGGGTTGCTTGCTTTATTTGATTTATTTAATAATTATTACCAAGAAGAAAAAATAATTTAATTTAATGACGCTGATGCTGCTGCTGTTTGTTAAGTAAAGAAGGCAGATGGTTAATTACTTTTGCAAATTATTTATGATTATGATAGTTGTAAGTAGGGGGGGGCGGGGGATATTTTGTAACAAATTAAATTCAACAAAATAAATTAAAAATTAAAAAAATGTGTGTTTTTTTTTCATTTTTTTTTTGTTGTAGTCATCATCATACTTAATTAAAGTTGAGCTTTTTTGAGGCTTTTTTTTAAATTAAAAAAAAAAACGTTGATTTAAAATGGTTTTGTTTACGATTAAAAATTAATTAAGTTTTGTTTTTTTTGTTTGTTGTTTTATAATTAATAAAAAATAATAATAATAAAAAAATTAATTTATAGAAATTAAAAAAATAATAATACAAATAAAAACAATTTTATCAATAGTAAAAGAAAAAAATTGTGTTAAAAAAAATCATAATAAATACAAGAGAGGTTAAGTAGTAAAAAGGTTTTAACTATTTAAAGAAGAAATACGAAGAGTAAAATTTAAAATTATTAAAAAACTAAGATGACAAGCATTTGAATAATACAAAATAAAATGATAAAAATTATAATTAAAAAAAAAAAATTAAGAAAGGAGTAATACAAGAATACAAAATTATAAATTATTTAGAGCAAATATTTAAAAAATATATAATTTCCTTCTTCTTTGTGGTTTGTGTAATAATTATAATTAATTATAAAAAAAAAAACAAAAATAATAATAATAAAAGAAAGACACGATAAAACGTGCACATTTCTTTAGCTTTTTTCCTACACTTTGCATTTTAACTTATTACTTTAATTTGTAGTTTTTTGAAGTTTTCTTTTGAAAATTGTTTCTTTGTAGTTGTTGTTGACAATTTGTTGAAGTAGTTTTGTAGTAGAGTTGAAAAAGGTATTAAAGTAGATTATTTAACTACAAAATTTGTAGCAGTAGTAGTAGTAGTAGTGATAGAAGAGTAGTACTAGTTTATATAAAAAAAACGACGCAGAAGCAAACAGCATTTACGCCTCGTCTGACGCTGCAGTAGCCGAAGTACCATTGTCGTTGGCGCTCGAGTCGTTGGTATCCTTTTTATTGCTATCGGAGGCTTTGGTGTCGTTATTGCTGTTGGCATTATTATTGGCATTTCTAGTGGCTACAGCATCGGTATCATCTTCTTGGGCCCTCACGGCGGCTTCTAGAGCACGTATACGATTTTCATGTTTAACAATAATCGCCTTAAGTTTACGTATCTCATCGGTGATATCACGCAAATCTTTTTCCTATATAATTATAATGAAAAATTTGTTTTATTAGTTGAAAAACTAAAGACTTTTGAATATTTTGTTTTTTTTTTTTGTACTTACAGTTATACCACTAACCGTCGCTGACCCACTGGAGGCACCAACATCGGCAGCATGATTTCCACCACCCAATGTCGCTGTGCTGGCACTTTTTGAGGTTCCCACTGCTGCTTTATTGAGTATATTGGCCTTCTTGGATACCGACAGCGATTTGTTGCCCGAATTTGATACATAACCACCCTGTACAATAGAAACACGATCCTATTTAGATTTTTTAGTAATTCTGTTCATTAAAGTTTTGTGAAACAAACAAGCAACACAAAACACAACTAGCGGGAGCATATACACGCACAGCAGCAGCGAGCGCTTACAAAATGGAGAAGTCATGTAAAGAGAAAACTCTCTTGTGGAAATTTTAAACTTCTCTGGTGAGATTTTTTTCAAACGGCAATTACATTAAGGATTTTGTTACAGTTATTTATACAGTTATTCCTGTGCAAATAACTAAAACAAAACCAAAATGTCTTGCCAAACCGTTACTTATACATTTGCTCTAATGACAACTGGAAAAGATCTTTAGATTAGTAATGCACGGATCTATTTCCTCTCTTTTCGATTATAAATTGCGGATCACCTGTTTTCTGTATAAGTTCGGTTGTTAACAAAAAACATCACCAGAAAGTTAAAATTTTCGTTTTTATGGTTTCATATGATAGTGTGATTTTCATGTATGGACTCCTTCGATGATGTAATGAATAAGCATATGAGTTATTAAAGCATTTGTCGTATTAATTTAGGGACTTTTTAAACAAAAGGGCTTAAACGGCAGCATAATAATAGAACACATTCAAAAACCATTAAATTTTCAAGCAATTAACAATATATAACTTCTTAACATTTAAACGAAACACATTTTTTAGTTTTATTATTTAGAGCAGAAACTGGGTAAAACTCAACCAGAAGCAGAAACAAACAACATAACTTAACCAATCAATAACCAGGCAAGAACAATTTTGTAAAAATATTGGAATACATTAAATAAGCAGAGTTTATAAATCAAGAATTTTGTTTAAACTCGAGGGGCAGGATGTTGTGGAGATTTTTAAAAGTAAACTTTTAAGTTTTTGAAATACTTAATATTCTGTAGGAGGAGAAGAACTTGAATTGTATTATTTTTATTTTCCCAAATATTAATTTACAGGAACTTCTACTAGAGTAGTTTTCTCAATGATTTATTTGGATTGTCTTCAAATTTCATATTTTTCAGATTTTAGCAAATAGTTCTGTGATAGACATATTCTATTCTATTATTTCTACTACATACACTTGTATTTCAATTCGAACTATCATAGTCTATAGGCCTGTCTATGGATCAATCCTATTGTCCTATCTATAGATCAGTCTATGGTCTTAAGTCTTATGTCTATAGTCTTGACTATAGATCAGACTATGATCTTTATTTTATACTGTAGGTCAATCTATATTCTAAAGTATAGATCAATACTTAATCTTAACTAAAGATCAGTTTATAGTCTCGAAGATAGATCGGACTATGATCTTTAGTCTTGACTATAGATTAGGCTAAAGTCTTGATTATAGATCAGTCTATACTCTTGACCATAGATCAGTTTATAGTCTTGACTATAGATCCGTCTATGGCCTTGACTATAGATCAGTCTATAGTCTTGACTACAGATCAGTCTATAGTCTTGACTATGGATGAGTCTATAGTATTGACTATAGATCAGTCTATAGTCTTGACTATAGATCAGTCTATAGTCTTGACTGTAGATCAGTCTATAGTCTTGACTATAGATCAGTCTATAGTCTTGACTATAGATCAGTCTATAGTCTTGACTACAGATCAGTCTATAGTCTTGACTACAGATCAGTCTATAGTCTTGACTATGGATGAGTCTATAGTATTGACTATAGATCAGTCTATAGTCTTGACTATAGATCAGTCTATAGTCTTGACTGTAGATCAGTCTATAGTCTTGACTATAGATCAGTCTATAGTCTTGACTATAGATCAGTCTATAGTCTTGACTACAGATCAGTCTATAGTCTTGACTACAGATCAGTCTATAGTCTTGACTATGGATGAGTCTATAGTATTGACTATAGATCAGTCTATAGTCTTGACTATAGATCAGTCTATAGTCTTGACTATAGATCAGTCTATAGTCTTGACTATAGATCAGTCTATAGTCTTGACTGTAGATCAGTCTATAGTCTTGGCTATAGATCAGTCTATAGTCTTGACTATAGATCAGTCTATAGTCTTGACTATAGATCAGTCTATAGTCTTGACTATAGATCAGTCTGTAGTCTTGACTATAGATCAGTCTATAGTCTTGACTATAGATCAGTCTATAGTCTTGACTATAGATCAGTCTATAGTCTTGACTATAGATCAGTCTATATTCTTGACTATAGATCAGTCTATAGTCTTGACTATAGATCAGTCTATAGTATTGACTATAGATCAGTCAATAGTATTGACTATAGATCAGTCTATGGCCTTGACTATAGATCAGTCTATAGTCTTGACTATAGATCAGTCTGTAGTCTTGACTATAGATCAGTCTATAGTCTTGACTATAGATCAGTCTATAGTCTTGACTATAGATCAGTCTATATTCTTGACTATAGATCAGTCTACAGTCTTGACTGTAGATCAGTCTATAATCTTGACTATAGATCAGTCTATAATCTTGACTATAGATCAGTCTATAGTCTTGACTATAGATCAGTCTATAATCTTGACTATAGATCAGTTTATAGTCTTGACTGTAGATCAGTATATAGTCTTGACTATAGATCAGTCTATAGTCTTGACTATAGATCAGTCTATAGTATTGACTATAGATCAGTCAATAGTATTGACTATAGATCAGTCTATGGCCTTGACTATAGATCAGTCTATAGTCTTGACTATAGATCAGTCTATGGCCTTGACTATAGATCAGTCTATAGTCTTGACTATAGATCAGTCTGTAGTCTTGACTATAGATCAGTCTATAGTCTTGACTATAGATCAGTCTATAGTCTTGACTAAAGATCAGTCTATAGTCTTGACTATAGATCAGTCTATAGTATTGACTATAGATCAGTCAATAGTATTGACTATAGATCAGTCTATGGCCTTGACTATAGATCAGTCTATAGTCTTGACTATAGATCAGTATATAGTATTGACTATAGATCAGTCTATAGTATTGACTATAGATTAGCCTATAGTCTTGATTATAGATCAGTCTATAGTCTTGACTGTAGATCAGTCTATAATCTTGACTATAGATCAGTCTATAATCTTGACTATAGATCAGTTTATAGTCTTGACTGTAGATCAGTATATAGTCTTAACTGTAGATCAGTCTATAGTCTTGACTGTAGATCAGTCTATAGTCTTCACTATAGAACTGTGTATTCTTGAGGTCAGATTAGTCTGTTCACGATGAGGAGGATTTGTACATCTGCGGCAATTCCCTATAAGCGATCTGAGGATGATCAGCGATCTTAATTAAATAAAGTAAAGTAATTGGTAAGTCTGGGTGATTATCTACAGGTAGCAGTCGTCGATCGGAATGATCAGGATGGAAGGATCAATACCGATCTGTGGCAGTCACAGCAACAACCAAAGATCGTCACTGTGTCATTGGCACGCATATTAGGAAACGATCTTGCTTTCATCAATTATTGTAGAAGTTATCACAAACAATTTTCCAGCATTCACTATTAGCTTTCAGACATACAGATGAGGTAACTGGGATAAATCTAAGGCATTTCCAAAACTTCATCAACAAAACTAGTTGGTTTCACGATGCATGTACTGCGCCTCCCGTGGTATCATAAAGGGATCAAACAAAATGGACCCTAGTGAGCTCCTTATAGAGTAACTGATCTACTAACCTCGCCGAATCTAATACGTTTCACAAGGTTGTATTTGTAAAAGAATATACAACAAATATTGTATTCTCTAGTGAAAGTTTAATATGTAAAGGGGCCAACTAAACCGAAGTGTGCTATTTATGTAGCCAGTTAAAAACAAAGGTAACTGAACTTATTTAAGTATACAAATCATGAAAGCCTTCTATTGTTTCCGAATTTCAAATGTTATTTTCAATAGAAAGAAAGATAGCAAATTTTACTAAGATCAAGAAATCTAAACTTATTCAACACTAATTCTTAAACAGAAATAACTAAATTCCATTACAATCGCCTAGCTCCTACGGGGGGATAAATTCGCAAAAGAAACTCAATTTCTCTAGAACTCTTTATCGTGGCAGATCAAGACAGTTCCATATATAAGAGAAATTTTGTTAGAATTTCTTTTACTATACATTTACATATGTATATGATAGCTACTATGCACTCAAACATTTTGGTGGCTATGGTCAAATCATCAAGGTAAATTACATGATACCATAGCTAAACGCATTTAGCACCTTGAGTACTGTATTCCAATATTTATTGTAGCGTTGTTGTTAGGCAAGACAAATGTTAACTTACTTTAAGCGAGAAGGTGACTGGATCAGCATCTTCACCCATAATCCATTTTTCGGCGGTGATAGCAGCATCTTCGGCTAAAGTGTCGGGATATAAATCCTCTTGGAACAAGTCCGATTTGCGGGGTACAGTCATGGAAATAACTTGACACAAGCCATTATTGTTGAGACGATAAAATTTGGCAATTTCACAGGTGGTGACATCGCAGCCACGTTTTGGCATCATGCCAATACCACGTTGGGGATCGGGTGTTTGGAAGGTATTGATATAATGGACAAATGGAGGTTCGGGTGTGACCTAAAGAGATAAAATTTAAAACATAAGTAAAAACATAGTGTTCGTATGTTAAATAAAACTTACTTCAAAATATCTTATGACCGAGTCACCTTTACCACAGAGGTATATAAGATTTGTATCGGGATCGTATAGAGGGAACATTACACCATTGGATGTATCCAATTCAACCATAACAATAGGTTCACTTAAGGCATCGGGTGCTCTAAGAGAATATTGTCGCTCTGAGGAACGATTAAAACCGGTGGTAAAGATTAAACCATGACGTAGGAAAATTGCTCTCGTTGCCTTTGAGCCTTCATGACACAAGGCCTCACTCTCCAATTCACCATTGCGCGGATTATAGATACGTATCTTTTTATCTTTGCAGGTGGTTACCAGTTTAGAGCCATCCCAATTGAAACAGGCACTGTAGACAATATCAGGATGTGAATCAATGTGTAATAAGATTTCGCCAGTACCCACATTCCAGATAACAACCTAAGGTACAACAATAGAAAATAGTTATAAATTGTTACAAAAATAAATACAATTTTAAGTTATCAACTCACCTGATTGTCCGAGCCGGCTGTTAGGAGAACATTTAAAGCGGAGGGATGCCATAATACCAAACCAACACGTCTTTGATGGAAAACTAAATCCACCACAGGTTCGGTTAAAGTTCTTGAGAGACCACCATCGGGTATTTGCCAAACTTTAACTACACAATCTTCCGAACCGGAGGCAATAACATTGTCATTGTGAGGACACCAGGCAATATCGAGTACAGGACCCTTATGACCACCAACAAGTGGATGATCGGCAGCAATACGTCCCACCTGGTAGCAGAAGATAAAAGGAAATTAATTTTATTTAATTACGACTAACATGACATGTTTTTGCTCTTATATTATATGCATGAAAAACACCCATTTAACCAATCATCCAAAACACCCACTCACACCATTTGAAACATGACATACTTTTTCTTATTTGAAATATTAATATTTTTCGCTATCTGTACTCCCTGTACTTTTCCCCATCCTCTGCTCCTATTTCGATTTCAACCTAGATTTTCGTTTGTTTTTTTCTCAGCTTTTCATACATGTTTAAATTCATTAAATATTGTTCATTAATTTTCTTGTTTTTTTATAAATATTTTTTTTTTCGTTTTTTAATTTTTGCATACAAAAATTTAAAAAGTTGTTTCAATTCTTAAAATTGCAACATTTACACCATTTCCTATAACTTAAAATACTTCTTGGAGTTTTATTGTGTTAAGTCATGAAGCCCTAGTTCCGAATTAGCGGATACTTGATTGATTAAAATTGATCTTAATTTTCCTTTTTCGGAGGATGACATTCACTATCGAACAAGAAATCCAGTACTTTTTTTTTCTTAATTTCGATATTGAAATGGGTTTTTCATGCGTAAGAAGATTTCGATCAAGTATGAGGTAATTCGGACCTAGGTCTACGTGTGGCACTCAAATCAAAAAGATTGTCATTCCAGCAATAGATGAATTAACAGGAAGTTTTCCCATTTGTCTGCAAATCAGACGAGGACATTAAAGCTTTGGAAATTTACTGATTTGTATATCATCTACGTAATTAAATGGCACAAACTAACGTTTCAGACTGCGAAACAACATCAACCTAAATGTTTATTAACTTTCCTAAACCAGACAAACCTACCATTCATTTGGCGTTCCCACGACAATCGGTTCTACCTACCGGAACGACTCGGAGTTCAGCGAACAACGACCAAAGATTGTCAACCTAGCCACAACGACTTTACACGTGTCACTGCTACAACAACATCATTCATTTACTACTACTACCTACTTCACTCTGTCCAATGGTATTATGGACAGTTAAAGTAGCCAAATTTTTAGGCCTGGACATTGATGTAGAAACAACTAGATTATTGTATAGTTTAAGCTATTACAACAACAACCATTCATTTAGAATCATACCCCTATCATCCTACTTTCGACTTGTAGCAATAGTTTTAGAAACCCTACTACACCTCTCTTCTCAATTACGCGACTCTCATAACATCACTTCCAAGATACTTGGATCTAACTTCGACGAATGCCTGACACTGCTCCAGAGTTTCACTGTCCTCTCCACATGCTCTACATTCTTCTGAATCCGCACGTCCAATTTTTCATAGAGGGTCAGGGTCACAACATAGGATCTTTGTGGTTATACCCACCGTTTCATTACTCCAAATGTCCTTATGTGATTTTCTCAACCCTATTTATACCCTACACCACTTTAGTGGGGAGGGTATATTGGATTTGTGCTGATGTTTGTAACATACAAAAATATTCGTCCTAGACCCACCTTAAAGTATACCAATCGGCTTAGAATCGTTTTCTGAGTCGATTAAGCTATGTCCGTCCGTCTGGCTGGCTGTCCATGTAAATCTTGTGCGCAAGGTACAGGTCGCAATTTTCAAGATAATTGGATGAAATTTGGCACGCACGTTTTATTTGACCTAAGGACGAAGCCTATTGAAAATGGTTAAAATCGGTCCATTATTTCACCTAGCCCCCATACAACAGAACCCCTCGAAAAGGGCTTCTGAGCTCATAATTATGTTAAATATACAGATATATCGATAAAATACGGCACAACTAAGTTTTATAGAAGTCTTGATGACCCTGCCAAATTTCATAAAGATCGGGCCACATTTGACCCTAGCTCCCATACAAAGTCCCCTTGAGAAAATTACTTGAATGTCCCAAATTAGCTTATAAACACAAATATCGCGATGAAATTCAGCACAATAAAATATTATGTAAATATAAATATATTCACAAAATTTTATCGGGCTTGGTCCATATTTGCCCCTAGCCCCCATATAAAGCCTCTTTCAGAAAATTAGTTTTTCATCCATAAATTGCTTAAATGTATCGGAACAAGGGATTATTGAAGATAAATGCTTTATTATGAAAAATAAATCACATTTAATATTCATAACTGGTGTAGGGTATCATATGGTCGGCCACGCCCGACTATAATTTCTTACTTGTTTTTTGTTGCGTCGAATGGTTCTGCGCTTTATTTTAGGACAAAAGGACTCTTCATCAATGTATACAGGCCGCATTGGAAGGTTGTAAATAATCATCGGACGTGACTGATCGCATACCAGACACAGAATATGTCGGAAACTTTGAAACGCTGATCCCAGATAGAATGTCTTGGTAAAGCGGAACATTAGAGCAAATACCAGTAGGAATGCGTTGTTACACGGATGGCTCTAAATTAGGGGACACAGTGGGCCTGGCGTTTTATATTGAAGACCCTGAAGCAGAAATATACCACCGTTTACCTAATCATAACACAAGCTTCCAGGCAGAAGTTCGAGCAATAACGAAATGTGTAAATTGGATATGGCGCCCGAAGTCCTTAATATATTTACTCACAGCCAGAAGGCAATTAGGGCGATATCAGGTAATATAATTAAGTCTAAGAAAGTATTGAATTGTAAGAAAGCTTTAACTGAATACTCTCCCAGAGGTAAGGTTTACATCATATGGGTACCAGGCCTATCGGGAGTAGTCGACAACGAAAGGGCGAATGTAATAGCTTTAAAGGGAAGGGAGCTCGAGGCAATTAACCTGACAAACGCAAGCCTTACGAAGAAATTGAAAAAAATTCAGTTGTCCGTTCAGGTCTGCTAATAAGCGCCTTATGATTAATACTGTCAAAAGTGGCGTTGAGTTCCCATTTTTGGACACACCGAGTTTACTTAACTAATTAACAAAATACTTTAGAACTTTTCAAAGACTCTTTACCAGTTATCTTACATTTAAAAAACTTTTCTCCAAGTCTGGAAAACATTGCATCGATTAGTTTATTTTGTCATGTTTTTTACAAATCAATTTGGAAATGGTTTAATATATGTGCACCTTTGTCGTCATTCAATGTGACTCTCGCCAAAAAATTGTTAATTTTTTTTGTCATATTTTTATGTGTATGTATGGGTTATTTTTTGTGGCTGGCAGCTATAAGTCATAATATCCGGCGGATACTGTAAGTAAATTATATATGTATCTATAGCATATCGGTGTCGTGTGTATAAAACAGGTGTCAAAATTAAAAGATTTAAATAAAAACTGACAGGTACATAGTATGTATATGCACATGAATAGAATTGTTGATGAAAATATTAATTTAAGAAACATTTATTAAAATTTAAGTATAACTGGACCGATCTGTTAAAATAAAGAATTAGAAAAAGTCGAAAACTAGAGACTAGAGTTGCTAGACTTTGGATTTTGAGTTGCTCTGTATTTAAAATTTTCCCTTCATTTTAGGTTTTCGAGATATCTTATAGTATACGCACAATTGGGACGAACGACGAATTTTTCGGAACGAATATTCGTCGTCAGAAATAGAACACACTTAAAAATGTACACAATCATTGCGTGTGACGAAATTCGTCGTACGTAACGAACTATGCGATAGGTTTATTTCTATTTCTTACGCAGACGAACGACGAATTAATTGGGGAAAATTGTTTTAAAACCAATTACGGTAGCGCGAATTTGCTGAAATTTGGCGGTTGTGAGTACAGCTAATGACAATACAATATAATGTTCGAATATTTGAAATTATATTCGAAAATTCGAAGTTATGTTCGAAAAAATTTTTATGCTCTTAAAATAATCTCTGGGTCATAAAAACTAAAAATAAAATTTTCGAAAATTCGAACTTAAGTTGGAAAAATTTTGAAATCCATTAAAACCAGTTCTCGTGGCCCGAATTGTCTGAAATTTGGCAGTCTGGAGTACACTTGATGACACTACAATGCTATGTTGGAATATTTAAAATAAAGTTCGAAAATTCGAAGTAATGTTCGAAAAAATTTTGAAGCTGTTAAAATAATCTCAAAATTGGGGATATTCACAAAAATATAATTTTACTTCTTTTCGAGGCCAATTTCTTACATTTTCTAATTTCGAAACAATGTTCGAATAAATTTTAAAGCTGTTAAAATTATCTCAAAATCGTGGAGATTCACAAAAATATAATTTTTGTTTCATTTTCTGACTTTTTCCAATTCCGAACAAACAAATTTTGAAACGAATTCGCAGTACGAATAATTTTATTGTGTTCCATTCGACGAATTTACGCAACGAATTTTTGTCGACTAGTTCGTCGTGCTATACGAAATTCGTCGTTCGTCCCAATTGTGCGTATACCATTAACTGGACTAGACTTTTACGAGAGTATACATTGAATTTTAGTTACTCTGGATCAGTCCAGATTAGGACTCAAATCAGACGTCTAGAGAAGTATTTAGACTCTTGTTAAACTGTTGGTCAGTGTTATTATTCTTGAAAAACAATAGAGGATAAACAAAAATATTGACATCATAACTTAAGACAAAGGTGTTAATATTTCAATTTGAAAAATATTATTTCCGTTAAAATATTAAACACAAATACACTCACACACACACATACTACAACAAAAGTGAAATTTAAAATAAATTTTCAATATTTTGTATATGAATTCAAAATTTTTGAAAAAAAAAAAAAAAATAAAAGATATAAGATTTTTTTGTTGCTGTTGTACGTTTGTGACTATTTTGGGAAAATGAAACAGAAAATTATTTTTAAAAATAGACTACTTGATTGTTTCATGCGTTATAAACTAATACTTGTACAAAATCTACATAAATATATATTTAACAATTTGTTTCGTTTTTAGTTTTTTTTTTTGCTTTTTTTGGCCAATGGCCAACAAAATGGGGTAACGCGCGCAAAAAAGCACACAAGGGGAAAAAAAGATTGGGAAAAATATAAATAAATATTGGAAAAAAGTAAAATTAACGGAAATTTTTTTTCTCAAATTAAAATAAATAAATATATATGTATAAATGGATATGGATGAGATATAAATTAAAATAATATAAACAAAATTATTTTAAGATAAAATTAAAGAATTATTCATTTAAATAGTTTTGAATGATTTTACCTTATTGTGAAATTGTTTGTTTTGATAAATAAAGAAAACCTTTAATGTGCCCCCTTGACCACTAAATTCAATGCCTATAGAAAGTGGAATGAAATCACTTTTGGATTTTAAAGTGGAATTGTTATCCAGCCAATTTTAAACCAAAACATCAGAATTTGCGTAAAGACTGAAAGGATTGAGTATACTTTGGTCTTTGTGCTAAAAATGTTGAATTTTATATAGATATTTTTTGGATGGAACTGGTCCAAGGTCATATTCGTTACCAACTCATTAGCCTTCAGTGATTTGTCTAATTACTGGGTTAAAATCCATCAGAATCATTAAGTCAACTGCTTAAGAAAGGCATTAAATAAACTCTTGATTGAGTCCTAATCACTCTTAGTACGATCATCAAGTAATAGTTTAATCACAGCAAATAACAGATCTTATATCAGTCTTTGTCAATAATTACCTCTCAGACTAATCGCCAATAGTACTAACTAACTAACTTGTTATAATTCGAGTTTTGAAAAGATAATTGCAAACTTTCCGATTCCTACAATTTAGCTAAATTTAGACCAAAACGGAACCTAATTTTTTTGTTTTATATATGGAAAATTAAACCTAACATTTTTAAACATATCAAAAATCGTATCATATACAATTATTTTAAAAACAATTTGCCACCGGAAAAAACTAATTCCCGGCCATCTATAATCACAACAGATACATTTTAACCATATGAAAGTAGTGTCATGACTAGAACTAGAGAAGCAACATATCCACTTATTAACTTGATATTTATTGTATGTCTTTCTGATGTTATTCAAATAAATTCAAGTTGGTGCTTTTCTATATTTAGACCCTAAACCACTAGAGTTTAGAGTGGGTATTATGCCTTTGTGTTGATGTTTGTAATGAATACAGATACCAGAAATTGCCATGAATCGGCTGTTAATCATTTATTGCGTCAGTTTAGTTGTAAATAATCTGTTTAAAAACTGCAGCTTGGAATTCTGAATTCGCAAATGACCACGACAGTTTTCCTAGGCGCTCTGAAAATGCCGTTTGAATCCGCCGGAAAAAAATATTGGCGGATCTCGGTCTATGAAGTAAAAAACTTTCCTGACAAGTCTAGGGATGCTTTAGCTAGTTTTACCAGTAATCCACGGTAGCAATTTAGGAGTAGTCTTGGCACAGGTAGTACACCACGGTTAAAATTGTCAGAAATAGAAAACAATCCAAATTTTTTAAATTCTGATCCGTTTTTAAAGCTTGTCCGATATATATGAAATTAAATAGTAAGGTACTTTTTTAAATTCCTCCATTTATCACTAGCGTTTGTAAATTTGAACCGAGACTCTATGTACGAATTATTCATTATTATTGATGAAAGCAGTCCCGATGGCGTCGTCTCTTTCTCTACTCTCAACGATGGTCCTAACCACATTCTAACTTCTTTTCAATCTTGGATTCAGACCGATTGTTGGTGTGCAACTCTAAACACCATTAATGGGTCTTTGCGTCTGGAGCGACCTCTCTAGGAACGGTAGTTCGACCAGATTTAATTGAATCTATCTATTATCTATCTATTCTATCTATCTATCTATCTATCTATCTATCTATCTATCTATCTATCTATCTATCTATCTATCTATCTATCTATCTATCTATCTATCTATCTATCTATCTATCTATCTATCTATCTATCTATCTATCTATCTATCTATATATCCATCTATCTATCTATCTATCTATCTATCTATCTATCTATCTATCTATCTATCTATCTATCTATCTATCTATCTATCTATCTATCTATCTATCTATCTATCTATCTATCTATCTATCTATCACCTACCTATCTATCTATCTATCTATCTATCTATCTATCTATCTATCTATCTATCTATCTATCTATCTATCTATCTATCTATCTATCTATCTATCTATCTATCTATCTAACTATCTATCTATCTATCTATCTATCTATCTATCTATCTATCTATCTATCTATCTATCTATCTATCTATCTATCTATTTATCTATCTATCTATCTATCTATCTATCTATCTATCTATCTATCTATCTATCTATCTATCTATCTATCTATCTATCTATCTATCTATCTATCTATCTATCTATCTATCTATCTATCTATCTATCTATCTATCTATCTATCTATCTCTATCTATCTATCTATCTATCTATCTATCTATCTATCTATCTATCTAACTATCTATCTATCTATCTATCTATCTATCTATCTATCTATCTATCTATCTATCTATCTATCTATCTATCTATCTATCTATCTATCTATCTATCTATCTATCTATCTATCTATCTATCTATCTATCTATCTATCTATCTATCTATCTATCTATCTATCTATCTATCTATCTATCTATCTAACTATCTATCTATCTATCTATCTATCTATCTATCTATCTATCTATCTATCTATCTATCTATCTATCTATCTATCTATCTATCTATCTATCTATCTATCTATCTATCTATCTATCTATCTATCTATCTATCTATCTATCTATCTATCTATCTATCTATCTATCTATCTATCTATCTATCTATGTATCTATCTATCACGATTTCAGTGCGTTGTTGACCTGTGTAGTTTGGAATTAGTCGAAAAAAACGTTATCTATTCTATCTACTTACATAAGTGTAGGGTATTTTATAGCCATTCTTGACACCCTGCTTATTTCATTTTTCGAAAGTTTCCCTCTATTACTTATATATTTTCAAAATTCTATATATAACTTCACCAAAAACAAATCAAGAGTGAAAAAAATACCACTACGTGTGAGTGTTGTGTTGGTCGGTTGGTTAGATAGTTGGTGTTTTTTTTGGATAAGTGTCTGCCGGTGTAACCAACTGGCACACTCGTATAACTGTGTCTAACAACTAAAGAAGGAACAAAACCAAAAAAAACACACACATATTTTTTACATAAACGTGAAATGTTTTACTAATGCAGATACTAAAGGAAAAAAACACAAAATATATGTTTTTTTTTTTAAATTGTATAAAAATAAATAAATATGTATTCTATATATGACTTACTTACCTTATTATGAGGTAAAACTATAAATGCACCACCACCTGCCGATTCAACAATGATGGCCAAAAATTTTGGATTCACTGCACAAAATGTTGAATCCCAACTACTTTTCGAGACACGTATATTATCGTAGCATTGTTCACGTTTTAAAGCTTGACCGTAAACGTGACGAAATTTTGAACTTCTGACTACACGAAACGACATTTTCTTCTATTACTTTTTTTTTAAATTTCTTTGTTTGGAGCGGGGGGGCTAATTGTGGTTGTAGTTGTTTTGTTACAGTTATTTGTTGTCGTAGTTGTTGTGGTTCTATTATTTGTTTATTTATTTGTTTGTTTGCTGTTGAAATATTACTTTTCCTTAGTCAATCACTCCACGTATAATGTACAAATAACAATAAATTTATAGGAAAAGTTTTTTTTTGATTTTTTTTTCTTTAATTTATTTTAAATCTAAAAAAATTCTACACAACATAAAAATATTTATTCTCTATTTTGCTGCTCTTTTTATTTTCGATTTTGACTTATTCAGCATGCAAAGAGAGTGTGTGTGTGTGAAGAAGTTGTAGGAGGTTGTTGTGTTTTTTTTTATACAAAAATAAAATCTATATTAAAAATAATTTATTTTTTATTTTTGTTTCTAATTTTTGTTTTTGTGATAAAAAAAAAAGGCGGCAAAGCAATCACATTCGTTCAATGAAACTAAAAAGAGAAGAAAAAGAAGAAATAAATTTAAAAATATAAAATAAATATGAAATAAATTTTTAAAAGCAAATTTGTGTTTATATTTTGCATTACTTTTTGTTCTCAAGTACTTAATTTATTGTGGCACTTGAAATAATAGTCTAGTTCTAGAAAATTTGATATCAAACATTTAGAGTTAACAGTTTCGGTTCCTTAGGAATTTGTCTTCATTAGTCTTAAAAGTTTTCGAACATTAGTTCGAAATTTCGAATTTTTTCGAAATTGCTTTAATGCTTAAAAAAGTCTCTAAATCATGAAAATTCATAAAAACACAATTTTAGACCAATTTTTTCTTAATTTTTAGATCAATTCCATCATTTTCTCAATTTCGAATTTAAAAATTTTGAAAATATTTTTAAAATTTCCTGTAATTTTAAAATTTTTCTTCTTTAATAATTCTAAAATTATATTTTTTTGATTTCCTGTGCTTTAAAAATGATTTTAAAGCTTTAAACAAGTTTTCGAACATAAGTTCGAAATTTCGAAAATTTTCAAAATTGCTTTAAAGCTTTAAAAAAGTCTATGAATCATGAAAATTCACAAAAAACACAATTTTAGACTATTTTTTTTTTCAATTTTAAGTCTAATTTCTACGTTTTTTCAATTTCGAATTTACAAATTTTGAAAATATTCAAAAAAATTTCCTCTAATTTTAAAATTGTTCTTCTTTAATAATTATAAAATTATATTTTAATGAATTCCTGTGGTTTAGAGATGATTTTATAGCTTTAAAATTGTTTTCGAACATAAGTTCGAAATTTCGAAAATTTTCGAAATTGCTTTAAAGCTTTAAAAAAGTATATAAATCAGGAAAATTCACAAAGAACACAATTTTAGAATTTTTTTTTTTTTTTCAATTTTAAGTCTAATTTCTACGTTTTTTCAATTTCGAATTTAAAAATTTTCAAAATATTTTAAAAAATTCCTATAATTTTAAAAATATTCATCTTTAATAATTCTAAATTATATTTTTATGAATTCCTGTGGTTTAGAGATGATTTTATAGCTTTAAAATTGTTTTCGAAGATAAGTTCGAAATTTCGAAAGTTCTCGAAATTGCTTTAATGCTTAAAAGTAGTCTCTAAATCATGAAGATTCATAAAAACACAATTTTAGACCAATTTTTCTTAATTTTTCCCAATTTCGAATTTAAAAATTTTGAAAATATTTTAAAAATTTCCTCTAATTTTAAAATTTTTCTTCTTTAATAATTTTAAAATTATATTTTTTTGAATCCCTGTGGTTTAAAGTTGATTTTAAAGCTTTAAACTAATTTTCGAACATAAGTTCGAAATTTGGAAAATTTTTGAAATTGCTTTAAAGCTTCAAACAATTTTAGACTAAATTTTTCTTAATTTTTCGACTAATTTCATCGTTTTTCCAATTTCGAATTTACAAATTTTGAAAATATTTTAAAAATTTCTCTAGTTTTAAATTTTTTCCTCTTTAATAATTCAAAAATTATACCTTTATAGAACCCTGTGGTTTAGAAATGATTTTAAAGCTTTAAATTAATTTTCGAACATAAGTTCGAAATTTCGAAAATTTTCGAAATTGTTTTAAAGCTATAAAAAGAAACTCTTAATCTTGAGGATTCATAAATACATAAATTTTAGTTAAAATCGAGTTCAAATTCTTTTATTTTTCAAATTTCGAACTTAAAAATTTTGAAAATAATTTTCAAAATTTCCCGAAATTTTAAACTATTTTTTAATGTAATCTTCGTGAGTATTAATTTTTTTAGGAATGCTCATGATAAAATAAATATTTTTTATAAATTTTCGAAAATTCGAACTTAAGTTCGAAAATGTTTAATTCTTTTAAAATAATCATCAAATCATGACGATTCATAAAAATCTAAGTTTTGTTTTTATTTACTATCAATTTCTTCGTATTTCCAATTTCGAAGTTAAAAATTTTGAAAATAATTTTCAAAATTTCCTAGAAATTTTAAGTATTTGTTGTGTTATCTTCGGGAGAGTTTATTTTTTTTGATGAGTCCCCATGATTTACCTATTATTTTAATAAATTTTCAGAATTTCAAACATTTTTGAAAATTCGAACTAATGTTCGAAAAATTTTTGAAGCTAACAAAATAATCTCTAAATCATAAAGATTCATAAAAATCGAATTTTAATTTAATTTGTGATCAATTTCAGCTAATTTAGAACATTCGAACATAATGTAAGATATTTTCCAAAAGCTTTGAACAACATATCAAGCTTTTGGCGTTTTACACTAGAAAACTTATTTTCACTTGATGATTCCCCATATTTGTTGAAATTTGATTATAAACAAAATGTTCAATAAATTTATATTTTGTTTCAATTAGCTTCCTTTCAATTGTTTAATCACTGTGAGTGATTCTTTGCTTCATTATTATCTAATAAGTTTAAGCATATAAAAACAATAACATTTAATCATTTAGTTAGAAAATAGAAATACAAAATAATAATAGAAAAAAACTTTACAACTAATATTTTTTTAATCAAATCAAACGTATGAAAAAAAAAATTAAATAAACACAACAACAACATACCAATCAAAAGAAAATCTATTTTTGCCCGATGATTTAATAGCTCCCGCTAGCAAAAAGCAATACACAGCACAACCAATAAAACTACTTTAGAGTAAACAAGGAATTTTGTTCGATACAAAGAAAGTAAAAAAATAATAATAATAAAATTGTTTTTATTTAATACAATCAACTATTTGTACAGCAACAAAATGTTTGTTAAAAACTAACTGAAGAAAAGAAAGAAAGAAACGAATATGAACAAAATGCGGAGATTTTATATCAATGAACTTGTTGACAAATAATAATAAAATAATAGAGACAGACAGCAGTCGTACCACGAAACTATGCAATCTTGTTGAGTTTTTTTTTTAATAATACATAATACAAAATACGTAGATATTTATATTATTCATACAATAATGCATAATACTTGTATCTCCATCTAGTCTTTTGTTATTTATATTTTGCTAGCATAACATTTTCTTAATATTCGCACTAATTTTAGCAGCATACCAGTAAAGAGATTATGGTGGGGCATAGTGAAACATTTGATACCCTATATCAGTGCTAGACTAGTAAAAAGTCTTGGGTCATTGAAGCATTTTCTGGTTTTACTAATATTACCAATACCCATATTTAAAATGTACATAGACATTTTAATGTTGCTCGTATAAAATTTAAGGATTTCAGCTCTAACGGTTTCCCAGATATACGAATTTTGTATTTAATTCATATGGGAGGTGTCACGCCCCTTTTTTATGTCCGCAAATATATTACCCAAATGTTCTTATGGATGTCAAAGTTATTCATGTGAAATTTGAGGATTCTGGCTCAAATAGTTTCCCAGATTTACGAATGGGGATGCCAAGGCCCCTATTGCTAGTCCGTCCACTCATCCTAAATATTAAAATTGATACTAAAACTATAGCCAGTCCGCTCATTTTATCCCCAAATGTTCAGATGTATTTCAATTGTTGCTTGTGCAAAGTTTGAGTACTATAGCTCTGATGGGTTTCCAGATATACGAATTTTTGTATTTAATTCATATGGAAGGTGCCATGCCCCTTATTTTTTATCCGTCAATATATTACCTAAATGTTTTACATGGTTGTCAAAGTTTTTCAAGTAAATTTTGAGTATTAGAGCTTTAATAGTTTCCGAGATATATGATTGTATTTAATTCATATGGGGGTGCCACGCCCCCCTAATGCAAGTCTGGCCATTGTTCATATGAGAATTCTAGCTCTGATTGGTTTCCAGATAAACTAATTAATTTATGAGGGAGGTGCCACGGCTTCTTTTTTTATTTTAAGTCCGCCTATTTTGCCTTAAATATTCATAATGATACTAAGGAGGTTCCGTTGGGAGGTGATAAAGCCCCTACATAGACTAATCTATTGGAATAGTTGGTTGGCTAGTATATGGAAGAGTTGATTTAGTATTCTCCTTCAACATGCTCACATAACCTATGAATGTCCGCAATTGTCACATTAACTGGTGAAAGCAATAACACAACCACATCCCTATTGGCCATACAATGTATGAAAGATCTGTCAAGGCTGGGACGTCTGTCTAACATCCCTTTGCATATAAACTACAATGATGATAAGCAGGCGGATGGGTTAGCAAGAACGGGATCTGTTTTGAATATTTCTAGTGCAACTTCAGTTGCAATACCGCTGGGGTCTATTAAAAGTGAAATGCTGAAAATATTTGGAATAAACCAAACCCATGCAAAGTGACCAATCTAATTCTCTCCTTCGATGAAAAACGCAATATAAGACAAAGGTGCAAGTCGGGTTGGACTCACCTTCATTGAATACAGTTACAATTGGAATAACAAGAGAAGAAAAGGGTCTTACACATTATCTGCGAATACATCTGCAATTGACAACTACTCGTGCAGTTAGCGGTATTTAAACTTACTGATCTACAGATATATTTCACTGTTCGATGGATCTAATATTATACATCTGATGAGTTGGGTGGTCCAGTCGAAATGGAGTTCCTTCGACTCTTCTTGGCCAACATACTCAACCAAATATTCAGTCCCTAACTGAATCCTTAGATTCACTCCCTAATTGAATCCTTAGATTCAGTCCGTTTGCTTTTGTATCAAGTCCTCATTACAAGGCAATAGACACATTTCAATCCATCCTACTATTACAGGACTGCTTGATAGTGTCACGTAATCTATCAGAGTTCATTCTGTAATTGTGATTCGGATACATACATATTCTAATTGCGACATATGATTTAATTACAGATACTCAGTTGGACATTTATGTATGTCTTGATCGACAAAAGTGTTTCTGCACCGATATTTATGTGTGTAGGATCCTTATCCAGCAGTTCGGTCGGACAGTACCGAACTACATATTTAACATCTAGCCACCGACTGCCCAGGTGACTAGCTATTTTAACATGTGCCTGTACTACG